AAGGCATGTGATTTTAGTTTTTATAATAAAAGTTTTAGTCTCTTTTTGTATATTATAACTCTAGCAAAATCCATCTTCTTCAATGTTTTAAGTTAAAGATGTAATTTGATATTTTAATTTTCTTCTTTTATAATTTTGCAATTGGAGCCCCCAAAGATAAATTCCTAGCTCCGCCATTGCATTTATGCGACTCAAACTCATTTTTTCCTATTTTTATTGTAAGGAGATTACCAAGGTCATTGGTGAGTTTTTTTTTTTTTAATTATATATAATTCTTATTGAGTAGTTTTATTTAATCAAGAAATTTTCAATTATTATTCATAAATATTTAAAAGTATCATCTATAATTATGTGGAATAAATTAAATAGACATATATTTTAAAACAAATGGAAAAATCAACTAAGTTATCCATGGCAAGTCAGCTAGAAAACCCAATGGAGTTTCGGAGGTTAGAATTGCAATAATATGACACCCAAGCATAAGGCGTATGGTCATGACCACGTAAATAATGTGTTAAGACCACATAAATTGTATTGAATTTGTTTGGTTTAATTGATATTTTATTAGTTTATTATATTTTTTCTTAAAAACTAATTCTGATGTCTAGAAACATTAGTTTATAAGTTAATTTCAACATATTAATTAATAAATATCAATAGATTCTAAGAGCCCAATTGAACAAAACTTGTGTTTTTATAAACAAATATTAAATAAGCTATGTAACCTTAATATATTATTGTGTGAATATAACCACACCCGTAGTGTATACACATGAAATAAAGAGGTTTCAACTCATCGTAACTTCAACTCTATAGAATCAACATGAAAGATTTGAATAATTTGTAACAACTTTTTTTATTTTTATTTTTTGAGAATTAGTGGAGATCAATTATTCCAATAACTGCTGGGGCAGTTATCTGGATTTTTGTATTCATTATCTTTGTTCCTAACTTCCTTTTGGGATGTATTACTGACCTTAATTTGTTCCTTTTGCCTTTCCTTTTGTCATTAATATATTCGCATACTTCGCTGAGAAGAAAATATATATTCTATCAACTAAGCAATATCCTATTCCCCTCTTTATGTTTACTTTTGTTTTCAAAATGTTAAAATCCTTGTAGTCTAGCATTAACTTCATATTTTTTTTTTTTTTTTTTGGTACACGTTAACTTCATAGTTTTAGGTTTTAAACATTGATGCATTAAAAAAAAAGGTGGTTTACAGTGACTAAAATGTATTGAACTATAAAACACTAACTATTAAATTAAGTGGACTCTCTAATAATGATCAGAGCCCCATCATCGAATGATTAATATTTGTAATGTAGTCTAAACTCATAATACATATATCCTTGAATGATTTTTTTTGTTAATAACATTTATCCTTTATTGATTAAGAGTGTTTGACAAAATTTAAAAAACACTTTAAAATTTTACTAGAAAGAAGTTTAAAATTGACTTCTTCTTCTTTTTTTTTTTTTTTAATGAGAAATAGAGAAATATATTAAGTACTAAAAAAATTACAGCATAATTTCCATCTCATGACATATAGCCAAAATCAAAATAACCTAAAGACAAAATCATAAGCATAACTTACAGTACTAATAATAGATTTAAATTATACCCATGACAGATATAGACAATTAAACAAAGAGAGCCATGTACAACTAGGGATTGAATTTACAATCGTTATATGAACTAAATAGGGCTACTAATGTAGCAAGGGGAGCCATTGTGAGCATTAAAAACTACTAAACATCCTCACCTATTTAATCAGTTTCTTAGAGAGAGTAAAGGATTTTGGCAACAAACAGTTCCCAATTCACAAGTTGCCGCCCTACTTGTTTTTAAAGAAGAACAACTAAGAAGGGTATAGGCCTTTGTATACTCCCAATCATGTTCCCATTTTTGTCGATCCTCTTCAAACCATGCTGTTGAAACTCATTAAGGAACTAGAGCCCATTTGTTGGCTTGAAAATCAAGCTTCCCACACCGACCATAGCCGACCTTACCAACAGCATTCCTTTCCTTCAGCAATTGACTAGCTAATCGAGAACTAGTGTGAAACCAGATTTGTCAAATTCGACTCTCGCCAATATCTCATCCAAGGAGATGCACCAAAATGAGATTCTTGTTCGCTAAATAGGAGAAACCCACTTCACCGACAAGATCAATTCCAATTGTAGCTTTCAAAAATCAATAAATGTAAATCTTAGAAAACCCAAAAAGTCACTGCCTTGTGGTCCTTTGGGTTGGAGTTTCCAAAGCAAGACAACGACAAGGCGAAGGAGGAGATCAAGAGGAGGAAGAGAAGGGTAAGAAGAAAGAAGAGATGAAGGAACTCCTTTGTCGGAGAAAAATCTTAGGGAGAAAAACTCGTTATCACTGCTTTCAACCCTAGAAACAGTACACGGGAGAAAACTTTAAAATTGAATTTTAAAGTAATTTTCAAACAAGTTTTAAAAAAATTTAAATGTAATTTTTCAAAATTTATTTTAAAATCACTTCAAAATTAGTTTTTATCTAAATTTTAAATGGTTAAATACCATTTTTGGTCCCTTTACTATAGGAAAAAGCTTATTTTTAGTCCATGTACTGAAAAAGTCCCCTTTTTGATCCTTACTGTTTGAAATTTGACCCCTTTTTGGTCATTCCGTTAAATTTTGGCTGATGTGGCAGGTTAATTAACGGAAAAACTTATTTTTTTCTTTATTTTAATTATGTGAAAAATACACTTGGTACAACTTGATGACATGGCCAAGTTTTTTTTGTTTAATTTAACCTTAAAAATCATGTAATTACATAATTGCCATTATGAATATTTTAAAGATTATTTTGTGATTAAAAATACTCACTTTTAATTACTTATTTACCCTCATCTTCTTCCTTCCTCTACCCTTTTTTTTTTCCCCTTTCGTATCTCACTAGGATCTTTGCAAACCCAACATTGGGTTCGCACTGGGTTTGCTTGGGTTCGTGATGGGAAACCCAGAACCTAGGTTCGCATGGGTTCGTGACGCAAACCCAACGCCTAGGTTCGCGTGGGTTTGTAATGCTAACCCAATGCTTGGGTTTGTGTCACGAACCCAACGCTTGGGTTTGCATCACGAACCTAGTGCCTAGGTTTGCGTGGGTTCGTGATGCGAACCCAACGCTTGGGTTTGCGTGAGTTCGTGATGCTAACCCAGCACCTGGGTTTGCAAAACGAACCCAGGATCTAGGCTGGGTTTGTGACAAACCCAAGATCTAGGCTGGGTTCGCAACGAACTCAGCTCTTGGTTTCATCTGCTAATTATGTTTGAATGCTAGGACTTTGTATTTCGTATTCTATTTTTTGTTTTCACTATCTTTGAACATGAATGATGTGGATTTAGTTTTTGAATTTCATCTGATGATTAGATTGCTCGTAGGAATGATTTTGAGTATTGTAGTTGGAGATTCGAATCTCTTCTGTTATGTATGTTGGTTTTTATATTAGATTTTTAGTTTGCATTTACTAATTCTAAGTATGAAATATTTTGATTTCGTGTTTGAATTTTGACTATTGATTTGATCATTCAAAGAATTGGATCATTGTGACGAATCTAGGTTCGTGACGAACCTAGCTGCATAAGACAGAAGGGGGAAGAAGATAAGGCAAGAGAGGATAAGACAAAAGTGGGAAGAAGATGGGGGCAAATAAGTAATTAAAAGTAAGTATTTTTAATCACAAAATAATTTTTAAAATATTTATAATGACAATTGTGTAATTAAATGATTCTTAAGGTTAAATTAAACAAAAAAATTTGGCCATGTCATCAAGTTGTACTAGGTGGATTTTCCACATAATTAAAATAAAGAAAAAAATAAGTTTTTCCATTAGTTAACCTGCCACATCAACCAAAATTTAACGGAAGGACCAAAAAGGGATCGGATTTCAAACAGTAAGGATAAAAAAAGGGATTTTTTTGGTATAGGGACTAAAAAAGAGCTTTTTCCTATAATAGAGAGACCAAAAAAGGTATTTAACCATTTTAAATTTAATGAAAAATAAAAAATTCTTAAAACAAATTATTTTTACAAGGTATAAGTCAACTTTGTTTTGGGTAAACTACATGAATAGTCTATTAGCTTTCTCATAACCTTTGATTTAGTCACTCTCCTTTAAATTTATAAACCTAGTCACTCATCTTTAGTTTAATTTCCGTCTATTCATCACTTTCGTTAGCTCATGCTTGCCTTCATCAATTCTGTTATCTTTTATGCTGACATGGCACAGTGACTAGGTTTACAAATTTCAAAGAAGAGTGGACTAAATAAAAAGTTATGATAAAGATAAATGACTATTTGTGTAGTTTACCCCTTTGTTTTCGATCCTTTCAAGAAATGCCTAACAGCTTATGGGCAGCCGGTGACCCATGACAAGACTATTTTGTTCGAGTCAGGAATTATAGCATGTCTGTGGGCCTGTCCTCATTGATTTTTTTGTTTTCCTCTAAACTTCCCGTCGACGCTGAAGTGACCACAACTAAAGATCTCCATTCCCACTCCGACTCCGAGGACAGACTGTCCATCAGCAACTGGACACAAAAAACAGAAGACAGAAACAAAAACAAAACAGGACAAACTGGACACGTATGAATGACTCCAAATTCTTTGTTTAAGGAGAAGCACCTCCGTCAAGAGTCGAAAAAAAATATATATATATAAGTCTACATATTTCTTAGATAAAGAAAGCAAATTTTGGGTTTGAACTAATTAATAAAAATATTTAAGCTAATTAAGGGTTGTGATTATGGCCATTTAGTCATTTGATAGGGTCACATATATGGTTAAATTTTTGTTTTTATTTGACAATTAAAAATTGTTAATAATTAATAAAATAATTAATATTAATTATTTAATAAATTAAATTATTTTATAAATAAATATTGTCAAAAAATAAAAAATTAGCTGTTTAACAAAAAAAATAAATTATAAAGTGATTTAAAAATAAGTTAAAAATTGTATAATAATAGTAAATATTAATTACCAAATGATCATAACCACGCCTTATATTAATTCAAATTGAAAGAAAATTTTTTAATCTAAACATTGTAAATCTAAAAAATTTCCCTGCAGCCAGGCACCAGCACTCCAAAAAATTCACAGTCCACAAGTAACATTTATTATTAGAAATGAGCCGTTAATAAAGTGGAAGAAATAAAGAGAGGTAATTATAATAAGTTATATAATAATTATTATAAATACATAATAATATTTCACAAATCACAAGAGTTGTCGAATGGTCCAAACTGCGTTGCCTTGGTGTCTTGCATCTATATCAAAATACTAGCTACAATAGTCGGGGTGGAGGAAGTTCGGAAACACCATCCCAAGCTCTAACACTAATATCTTTATTGTTAGTAGTATTTTATGATATATAGCAACACACTTGAGCTTAACTAATTTCTGCATCAGTAGACTACATGGATATTAGACACATCAAACCTGCATAATAAATAGTAGAAAAAGAGAGGGCTGACGATACTGATTTTTATTCATTGATGTTCCGGAGCATCCATGGTGGCAATAGTGCAGTGGCTCGATGTTGTGGTGAATTGCCTTCATAATCCTCTCTTCCATCTCTGCATTAATTGTGGATCAATCATTTAGGTATCTTAGTACTCTGGTGACATAAATCATATGATCAAGGAAAAAATCTTGTGTCTCCAGTAAATGTGTGGTTGGGCAATAATTCGATCATACCAAACACTTTTCCTCATAATCAAGAGGTATGAAGGGAGAGAATTCCTATACTAAACCAATTAAGGGGGAATGATTGCATTATGTATGTTCATGACATTTTGAGCCTTCAACATGTTGTAAATTTTCTTATCTGAAGAATGCATGTGTACATGAGAGAAAGAGAAAAGGAAACCTATTGATGTTCAAGGTTGGCTGCGGCAGAAGATTTGATGATGTGTCTAGGTCATGAATTTGTTCCTCCCATTGATTATCTTGGGCAAGTGCCTTCTCCCTTTCCCTTACCTATATTTTTAAGCCCAAAATGTTAATCATGTGATCATTTAACAGGTAATTCCACAAACACCTAAGCCAGATAGAATCATGGAATTAACATATCTGTGATGATATGAAATCTTCACCTTCTTTGCGAGCAAGTTGTTTTGCTCCTGCAAAGCCTTATCCTGCAAATGGAAGTAGTCAGACAATCTAACCCTTAAATCAATAAATTGGCATGTACAAGTACGTACCCTATTCAAAATTCCCTTCAAATATAAATACTCATTGATGAAACTAAGATTATAGATCAACTTACATAGGTGTAAGTGTAAATAACTCTTATACCAATTTTCAGCCACACATTTTAAAATTTAAGGGGTTATTTTGGAAGCTTTAAGTGTTGCATTCTTTGCTAAAATTTTGAAATCAGTGGTTGAGAATTAATGTAGCACTTACATCAATATGAGTAGATTCTAACTCTGAAACTAAATATATAAGTTGTCCATCAAAAAATATATATACAAGTTGCTGATTATACCCTCCTTGACCATACATACCTATGATCCACAATTCCTCAATCTATCAGTACTCCACATTTAAAAGCAAGACAAGATGATTGAAATTAAGGGCAATGAGGTTTACCTTTTTCTGAAGCTCTGAGATTGATTCAAACATGAGTTGGTTCTGTGAGTGAAATATAGCAAGAACAGTTGTTATTATTAAACATCTATATACATTCTATGGTCTCATATGCGACAATCCAGAGTTTTTGATCATTTTATGTACCTTTTTTGATCTTACGAGTTTAAGGGCAGAATCAAGCTGTTGCTCCAAATTTTGAAGCTCTCGGAGGCTTAGACTGTCAAGATCTTCCCCCATGAAATGCCTGCAAAGATTAATAAACTAGATGCTCTGTTTCTTTCCTTTTCAATGATCGAATACATTCTTTCACAAACTTTGAAACAAGTCAATACCTGTGGTTTCTTTCCAAAACCTCAAGTCTAGCTTTAAGCTTTGCATGTTCCAGAGTCCAGCTTCCCTGCGAATTCAATATAAACAATGCACAAAAAGGAAAAGTAGAAAAGATCAGTATACATAATACAATTTTAACTTATTCAAGAGGAAGTGGCATATATGCTAGCCAACAAAAAGAGGCAGTGGCATATACAGTTCGTTCAACATCATTTGCAGCAAGCTGCCTCTCTGCAAATGAATATCTCTCATATCGTTCTAGGATCTTCTCCATGCTGCATTGAAGGATAAAATTAGTTAGAATACCCACATCAATAAGTGGTCTAGTATTTTGTTTTTCATAAGTCATTTTCTTTTTAATTCTCAAAAATTTATTATTCTGAAGAATTTATAACTCCTAAATGCTTTTGCTAAGAACATCAGGTTTGAAACCAAATACTCTATGACATTCATTAACCTATGTTTGGATTGAGGGAAATCAAGAGAAAGAAAAGGAGAAGAAATGATTTTCTTTCAATTAAATGAAGGAGACGAGACATTTCCATGTATTTCCCTCATTTTTCTCAATTGGATCAAACATATATAATTAAGTGCCATTTTTGTGTAGTTGGAGCTTTTAATAGAAGTGTTGTTTTTGTAAATAAAAAGAAAAATAAGAATAAAATATGAATAATGTGCTAATTCAATTAAAACGCAAATAAGAAACTTTTGCAAAAGCACCAATTCGATGCTTTTGAGATTTGCAATGAAATGGAGAAAAACTTAATTTATGAAACGTTGTAGTATTTTTTACTAATTGTAATATTTGGCGCAACTTGTGCTTTTGAAGTCAAGAAGTGCTTCCCACAAGCTACACCAAACAGGCCCTAAGTCTCTACTCATAATAGGTGCTAGGAGGTGATATGTAGAGATGGTTTGTTATGCTATGGTCAATTTGGATCACTAGGAATAAGATTCTCAGCAGCAATTGTTTGGATGTGGATCATGCTTTTGAATTGTTCCAAATATGGTCATAATATTCATGGATTAGCAACAAAATTTGTGGAAATTTGTGAAAATTCGATCATACTCGTATAGGTTCAATATTAACTTCAAGTTAATTGCTGGTTCAAATTGTTATAGAATCCCAAGCCTCCTATAAAAATGTGAAAATTTGACGTGTAAATTTTAAAAAAAGATTTGCATTTAATTTAAAATCAATTAGCAATATATAAGATTAGTCTTTCTTGCATATAACGCATATGCTTTTTGTTTATATATCCAATTAGGGTTTTCCTAATTATGTTGAAAGATGGGCATATACCTTTTGAGGAGTGGTGCAAAAATCCAAAGAGTTGTGTATTACCAGGTAGTAAGGAAAGACGAAGATTGAGATAGCAGGTGGTATATTGTATGGTTTTTGGTATGTTTGGACTAATGTGATGCATATCAATTTTGAATACCCCTTCCACTCAAGCTAATAAAAATTTTTGCTTTTCAAAAACCAAAGATCTCTCTACTCATAATTATTACTTCTTCCATATATTTAATAACTTTAATTTAACTTTTTGATTTTTCAAACATAAA